GAAAGGGAAAAGCTGGGAGAATGTATTGACTGAGAGAGCCTGACACACAGAAAGCACCGGCTGTGCCACAGAGCTGAGAGGCTTCAGGGAGAGACTGGAGTCCAGCCTCAATCCGGCAAAGGGACCCTCAGGAAACAGCCCAGGAGTTCAACTGGGATTCTGAAAAGCTCCGCCCTAAGAGAAAGGGTGGACTGGAAATAGACCCACTCTGAGAAAAATGAAGGAAGCCCAGAATTCAGAAAACTCAAACCCTGACTGTATTAAAACTATCTACCCCTGGACTAACGGCCTATAAGAAGCAAAATTAAATCCTCTTTGAAGGATAGCAAGATCATCCCAAACCTCAAATGATCTTTATTCTCTTTCATACATAATATATGGCTCTTAATTAAAAGAAAGCAGCTGTGAGATGTCAAATATTGACCAAAAATCAAGAGAAAAAAACAGACCGAAGAATCCAACATACAGGAAATCTAGATATTGTACTAATTAAGACATGGAATTTTCAAATAACTGTGATTATTTCGTTCAAAAAAAATTATTATATCAACATGCAGAATTTGGGCAAGTAACTAGAAACAAAAAATAAATAGAAATTTTAGAATTGAAAAAATACACAGTGGAATTAAGATGAAACCAATAATAAAAGAGAAGAAAATCCTAACTGGTTTAAAAATTAAGTAATACACTCATATGAGAAATTATAAAGAAATCAGAAAATATTTTGAACTGATTGATAATAAAAATACAAATTCAAAACCTATGGGATGTAGGCAAAAGCCATGCGCAGAAAGTAATTTAGAGCTTTAAGGGCAGATATTAGAAAGTAACAAGGCCCAAAACCGTGTGTCAGTATCTGCTCGAGTTGAAGCTATGTATATGTTTTGACACGGCAATTCCACTCCTAGGTGCATAACCAACAAAAATGTGTACATCTGTGCACCCAAAGACATGTGTAGTAGACACATACACTAAGGCATAATTTTTAACTACCAGCAATTCGAATAAACTCCAATGTACGTCGACAGTAGAAGAAATAAAGAATTCATGGTATCTATACGAAAGTGGACTGCTTTACAGCAACAAAAGTGAATGTAGATGAATCTCAAAATGTTGAACAAAAGAAGCCATCAGTAATCCATGGGGTAGCATTCCAATTTCACAAAGTTCAAAGCAGGCAGAAAATCAACTTAGAGTACTGCCAATAAAGGTCACCTAGTGGGCTTCCCTGGTGGCGCAGTGGTTGAGAGTCCCGCCTGCCGATGCAGGGGACGCGGCTTCGTGTTCCGGTCCGGGAAGATTCCACATGCCGCGGAGCGGCGGGGCCCGTGAGCCATGGCCACTGCGCCTGCGCGTCCGGAGCCTGTGCTCCACAACGGGAGAGGCCACAGCAGTGAGAGGCCCGCGTGCCGCAAAAATAAATAAATAAATAAAGGTCACCTAGTGTCACCTTTAGGGAGAAGGATGATGATGAGGGGATACCATGGGGGCTTCTGGGGGCATATGGCAATGATCTCTGTCATGACCTATGTATTGGGTGCATGAGTTTGTTTACTTGGTGAACAGTCTGTGAGACTCCAAAAGTCAAGGGTAAACAAGCTGTGACCTTAACAGCAGTGTGGTCAAAAAGATTTAGGGTAAAGATCGGCAAACAACCCATGAGGAAGTGTGAGGCACTAGGAAAATCTGACCTAGAAAAGGAAGTGACGTGGCGATGTGAACCGTGGGCATCTTGAAATATGAGGCTGTCTGATGAAGGAGCAGCTAGGCTCAACTCTGGACGTGTATTTCAGCACAACGAGGAAAAGCAAGTTTTCCAGACTCTAATTTTGATGCAGTGTACTAACTGCAAATAATAAAACTGCCCAGAAAAGGAACACACTCTCTCAATAGAAAGAACAATCTCCATCACTCACATGTTCTAACAAAAGCAGAAAGACTACCCATCGGGGATAACTGAAAGGGCTCCTGCATTGAATGCAGAGGGCCGATGACCACAAAGGCCCCTTCCAGATTCTAGGCATACGTTCCACGAAGAACCACAATAAAAAAGTCTTACCCTTAATCGCGTAGTGGAGATCTCAGCTTTTAAGATATCAGGGTCATATTTAGTACTGGATGAAGATCCTGAGAATACTTTCAGAGGGAAAAAAGAAAAAAAAAAAAGTAACTTGTACAAGTTGCATAACTAGTTGTCAACTTGGAATTTACAAACTCTAAAAACAACAAGATTTACATGCTTCTGTGGATACTTACTTAACTTTATAACTCCTTTACTGTCATTCATCAGACACCTAAATATAAAAAGTCATCTTCAAACCTTTATAATTTTTTTCAAGAAAAAGGAATGTTATAAAGACCCCAGCGCCTCATTTTCCTCTGAATTTTATATCTATGGATAAAATCTTAGAGAATCTTATTGCAGACCCAGTTTATCAGAGCTTTGCATTATCCAGAAACTTGTAATTTAAGTAGAACTTCTGGGCCCATCACAGATGCTTCTTTAAACAAGACCAGCTCCAGATTATCAATTTCTGAGATGAGAGAGAGGTCGGTCAACTCAGGTATTCAACAGAAACTTCATTCTAGTTAATAGCTCCGGTCTTAGTTTAGTCCCACTGCAAACATTGTACAAGAGTAGCACAAGGGCCAAATTATTTGCCCTGATCTGAAAAGGTAAACATTAATCCCCCACTGAGGAGACTTTTACCTGGAATGGGGTCGAGGGGTTTTACTGAGAAATCTGATGTGTGCCCTCAGCCTCACGTGGCTCTGAGGGACTCTTCCTGCCCGGGAAGGAACAGGACTCAGAACAAAGTCCCACAGAAACCCAAGTGGCCTTCTATTACCTATGACTTGGTCCCCATTTCTCAGGTCTGAACAGCCACGCTGTACTTACAGCTGGTGCGAGAGCTCGACTTTTCCTTGTAGGCGTCATTTAACCGGACGTATTCATCCAGGGCCAGGGCCAGTCTTTGCTCCTTCACATGGTACAGCTCCTTCTGCGTCCTGAGGGCATCCTGAGCCACGGACAGATAGTCCTTGAGCATTTTCTCCTGTTCCCCCCTCCATTGTTTCCTTGGATCTTCAATCTGTGTGGTTTCTGAAAGTATATTAGGTGGGTTATTTTTCAGAATTTAATGATGTTTTTTTGGTCCATTTATTTAAGCTTTCAAAAAAGTAGCCATCTTTATTTCTTACCTCCTTTAGGTAGTTTATTAGTGGTATGAAGTGACTTCTCCAGAAGTGTGATAGAGTTTTTGTTTTAGTTTACCCATAGCCTCCCCATCTCCACCCCTTTCAGGTCCTTGTCAGCAGTTTATCCTCATTGCCAGTCTCTCAGACACAGTGTTGCCTAAGTAAGCACAGCAGCAGGGCTGTGCTCAGGGCCTTCCTTTCAAGAACTCGCTGGCTCCCCAGTACCTTCAGAATAAAAGCCAAGCTTTTATGGCCCTGTATGATCTGAACCCAGCCTGCTTCCCATGCTTCTGTTCACTCAGTACAGGACTCTTGCCAGGCTGCCCTCTACATCAGCAGTACTCAAAGTGTGGTCTGCAGACCAGCGCCGGTCTGTGAACTCTGTTACGTGTCTGTGACAATAAGTACAGATATCAAGAGTAAACATTTTGAAATGTTTACAGCAATTTCATACAGTTATCCTACATCTGTTGACTCTAATAATACTGGGCCTTGCATTTTGCATTTTTTCAACTTTTCCAATTCATTTTTATTGTTATTTTATAAAAATATCAGTCAGTCCATAATGGCTCAGAAATTTTAAAACAAACAAACACAAAGACCAAACCCCGGTCACGGGTTAAGGAGAATACCCTAAGGCACAGTTCTTGGTTCTGCACTTCTGCACACTAGCCTCACCTAGAGAGCTCTAAAATAAATCCCAGACCAATTAGAGTTTCTGTGGGTGGAACCCAGGCAATGGCAGGTTTACAAGCTCCTCCAGTGATTCCCATGAGTGGCTGTGGCTGAGAGTCTGTGCTCTGCAACAGCTCACATACTGCCTCCTGCATGGAATTATGAATTATTCAAAACATCCCATCCTAAACTTGCTCAAACTTGCCTCCCCTGCCTCACCCACTCCTCCCGGAGGGAACCAAAATAAAGGCTCTGGCCCATGCTTTCCCCTTCACTCCTTCTGCCTCCTGACAGACCCAGGTGCTTCCCCACGTGGCCCTTCATGGTGTGATGTGGCCCCCCTCTCTTGGGAACTGTAAGTAGTACAACTCCTTTCGATGGCACTGACCTATTTGTGTTGTCACTCAGCCACCTCTAGAAATTAAATCCCACGTACAATCAAGACAGATGGGTCATACGGGCTGGCCACTGCATGAACATGAGGACCTACCTCTTCCTGACAAGTTAGGATCGGATAATTAACTTATCAATTTTCTGGAATGTCCAGTGGTGTGTACTGTCTTCAAAATGCTTTGTCTGTGACTCTCAACCTTAATGTACCCCAACTCGGTATTTCTGGTTGCCCCTAAGGACTCCAGTGAGTCAAAATGCAGAGAATGATAGTAGACGATCTGCTGTGACCACAATTATCTCCAGTGGCCAGGTTGGCTCTGGAAATGTTTAACCTGGTCTCCAGGGATAAGTGATAACACTACAGTGGTTCAGACGTGAAGCCTGGGTCCCCGTTGGGCCAAGGGAGGCCTGGGTCAGCCAGGGGCACCGCCACCACTGCCTCAGACCTACAGCCCTCCCTTCCGTCAGTGGTTAGAGAAAACATCAGCGCTTTCTCTAAAGTAGTAAGTATTCGGAACACGAATTTTTAAAGATGTAAATACTTCAATGTGCAAAAGAGGCAAATCTCATGTAATTGTGGGGAAAAATACGCTAGAGTCAATGTTCAAAGAAGATATGCAGGAGGGGGCAGTGCTGGACAGACAGCCCCCCGGCCAAGAATCTTCAAGGGCATCGTCACAAGGGGCAGGCTCGGCATCTGGGCAACACGGAGAGTAGACCGTGATCAGCCAGTAAGAGCCTAAACGTCTCCATTTTAAATATTCCTTATAACTCAGGTCTCTGGCTATCCAAACATGTAATATTTACAACCATTTCCAATATTTCTATATATGAATGCAAACTGACTCAAAGCACAGAGAATTCATCCTCTAACAAACAGAAATTTATGGTCTTAACTGTGGATGACCCACAATAATCCTCACCTCCTAGTGTGCACACCCCTGAATACCGGCTAGCGTGAGCGACTTGCTTCGAACGAAGAGCACAAAGAGACTGGGTGTCACTAGAGACCAGGCTACAAGAGGCTGTGACTGCCGTCGTGCCCTCTCTGCCTGGCCCTCCTTGGCTTTTTTGCTCTAGTGAAGCCAACTGCCAGGTTACACGCCATCCTATGCACGTAGCGAAGAGAGGGAGGCGACGGCCGGCAGCAGACAAGGAACTGAATGAATCGTGCCAGCTACCACACAAGTGAGCCTGGAAGCAGGCCTCCTCCGATCATGCCTGGGGGTGACGCAGCCTGGCTCACACCTCGAGGACACACTGTGGGAGACCTGGAGCCAGAGGACCTGGCTCAGCCTTGCTTGGCTTCAGCGCCCGCAGAGACGACGAGATAATAAATGTACCTTGTTACAGTGAGATATATAACTAGGAAACTAACCAAATAAAGAGATGATACAAATTGAAAGTGCGCATGAAAAACTTGAAATGTTCATACATTATAATAGCTATAGCAAGATACATACTTCCAGTTCTCTCTCAATACCTTTAGAGGTTTTACCTAATCATATTTCCC